TTTCAGGGCTGCCTTCTAGTGTTGTGTGTCATTTTGCAGTTAGGTTCATTATGCTCTGGGTTTTCTCTTTGAAAAAAAAAGGAGAATTTTGTCTGACCAGTTCTCTACCCGGGTGTATCGCAGGAAAAAAAATTGCCAAGTGTCTAAACATCACTTCATGCTAAGGGAGCAATGCACAAGTGTTTTTGTTGTTCTTCCCAAAAGCAGCTTTTCTTGAGGACTGAAGTAATGAGTATTCAGTTAATTAAAAATGTATGGTTTACCTGTTTTTGTCTAGTACTCTGCTAGACATTGGATATGGAAATAGGACCACTGAGCAGTCTACAGTCTTGTGGGATATTGGTAGGTTAACAATTGAAATGTGGGATAGTGGGCACAGGTGTAGAAAAGAGAGCAACTAACCAGGTGAAAGGCTTAGACAAAGGTGCCGATTCGGGCAAAATAAGCAGTAAGTGTGAAAAGGTGAAATTGGTAACAGGTTGTAAGGATTTCTTATATGCCATGCACGGAGTTTAACTATGGACAGTAGGAATGTTCCAGATTTCTGAAATAGGGAAGTGGCAAGTGATGGAGTCTCTTTCTTCTCAGCATCTTATTTTAAGGCAGAGAGGTCAACACTCTTACCTGTGTATAAAGCTAAGTAGTGGCAGTCATCATCATCTAACATTTGAGTGTTTATACTAGGCACTGTACATGAATACTCCTGTTAATCTTTGCTAATTTACCAGGCATAGGCTGGTTAAGTAATTTGGCTAAGTTCATCCTATATAATAAAAGCCCAATATGTGGAGAACCAAGATGGCGGCATAGGTTAACACCGGAGTTTGCTGCCTCAAACAACCACTTCAAAAATACAACTAAAAGACGGAACGGACATCATCCAGAACCACAGGAACACTGGCTGAGTGGAGGTCCTACAACTAGGAGGAAAGAGAAACGCATACCGAGACTCAGAGGAGGCGCAGTGCTGAAGTCAAATACTAAGGTGGGGAGTGCATGCAGAGCGGGCTGGCGGCGGAGGGCGTTGTCTTTTTCAATCGGGAGGGAGTCTCAGGCTCAGCTCCAGATCCGGGGGAGTCTTTAGAGACCCAGACTCAAACGGGAGAAGCAGGACTGTCTGGCTCTGTTTGGAACTCGAAGGCAGCTTTCTCTCCGCGGTTTGCAGCGGTTGCTGGGACTCAGAGAGGCAGAGCCCCCGGGACAGGACTGAGAGCGGCCATAACTGCTCTCCCTCTCCGGCCCGCCCTGTTGATCCCGTGTGACCCGCCCCGCCCAAGCCCGGCACAGAGGCTTTTGCCCGATAGCCTCAGGCATAGGCTAGATTAGCACCTCCCTAGAGGACAGAAGGCCAGTATACCTGGTGGTAAGAGTGGGACCATCCAGATTGCAACCCCTCGGACCCATAAGGGACACACTCAGGGGGCAGACTCAGTGAACACCAAAGCCCCACTGAAGCAAGTCTTGCCCGAGAAGGGTGTCTCCAGCCC